TTTGATTTTGCCAATTTTATTTTTTCTTGTAAGCTCTATAAGCCAAAATTAAGATATGTATGTAGAGTTAAAGTTAGTGCCTAGATGGTATATGTTTCATTCAGAAGATTCATTCTTACTCTAGAGGATATTCTATGGATTTATCTTTGCAACTGAATATTGGGGATCCTTTGAAATATTCAACTGTGAAGAAATTTATCTATACGACAATCCACTTTGACGAAGAATGACAATTTTGACTTTATTAAAATACGATACTTTTGGTATTGTTGACAAAATAAATTCAAAATGCCAACATTTCAAATTTATTTTCAAACATTAGTCAGAATGACAATAGCGGTGATTTACAATGATGGTTTTCAAAATGACACAAGCTTGTCGTTTGAAATTTTTTGTCTTATACAGTACAATCTTTTGATGTATAATAAAATTAAAATTACGTCGTTTATAACGTGCAGCGTTTGTCCACACTAACAACATAAAATTATCAAAATGTGGTTGTATAAAATAGAGACGGATTCACAAAGCACAATTTTTTAAAGCAGTTTCTTGTTTTATGAAATTTAAATAACATATATTTTACCACTACAATCTACATGATATTCCTAAAATACATATAAAATTTCACAATAATCAGTTCTGTATATTCGTAGATTATTATTTGTCTAATAAAAATCGACAAAGACGACAGACAGACGGAAACGGCGCACGTCGAGAAAAATTAAGAAATGAACTCACGATTTAAAGGCAAAATTTAATTAACAAATAAAGGAAAAATAGGCTAAGGACTTGCAAAAAATCAAAAATCTAGTAGCAAAGTTACCCAATTAAACAACATTGAAAACCAACGCTTTAAAATCTGCTTAATTAAAATTGTGCTATCTGTTATCAGAATAATAAAGCAGTATATATGTCTAGTCATTCAAAATCAACTTTGAGACATTTACAACTCTCTTCCCCAAAACCCATTCCGAAAATCTAGCTCTTAATCTAACCTCCCTATCGAAACATACAAATCCCCTTTGATTACATTTTAATCTTTTAACATATTACGCACTTAAACTGTCACAGAAGAATTCTCACCTAATATTGACAAAATCGTCTTCAAGACGAATATAAAAAAGCTCGTTTCGCTCCAATCGTCACTTCGACCAGAACCAACAAACATGCTTCGTTTTGCTCTTCTCATTCTTTGTGAGGACAATTCCCATGGTAAGCCGCTCTTTACTTGACCCTTACAACTGGTGGTACCTCCTTCTGTGGTGGTGCTTTGATCAGCTCCACCTGGATTTTGACAGCAGCCCATTGCGTCCAAGGGTTAATTGGTGTTGCTACTGCATAGCACCTCCTCTTACAATTGTGTTGCAGAGTTACCGCAGTAAAAGTATTGACATAAACAGTACATTTGATTTGCTTCGTTTTTCAAGGTCGTTTTTTTTTGTTATTTGTAACTAATTTTTTATTAAATATACCTAAAATAATCGGTCGTCTGATTGTTTCTAAGCAAATTATTAACTGGCTTTAGTTCGGTTGTGTATTTGTCGTCTAGAGTAATAAAAATCTGTGGAAAAAGACGTTGTACTAAAATTTTTTGTGGGTAACACTAACAAAGAAAGATTGGTCGAAAGCTATTTGGACACAACTTCCCTCGCTCTTGAAGTATAAGCGAACAAATCTAGCTCTTTAAAAAAATTATAAAATTTGATTTTACGATTTTTGTTTTATGATAACCTCTGTAAAGTAAAAATCAGCGGCATAAATAAAGCCCCCGCAACCCCGGCGCCGGCGGACAATGTAAAATATATTTAAAGCACTTAACTAACGAGATAAAACGTCCCTCAGCACTAGGTAATAGAAATCTGAACCTCAAGTGTTTATTTATGTCTCTAATTCTTACCCTTAATTTTTATTAATATTTTGTAATGTATTGTGGTGTTGTTTTCATCAGATGAATTTTGCGAGCTTACAGTAAAATAGGTTCTTTTCTATTAATTTTGTCCTTTATCCTAACAAGTTTTTTTTTTCCTATTTTCACTTTTGTGATATTAGTTTTCAGCTAAGCATGGGTAATCTTTTTAGTAAAACTCAAACATATATTTCAATTTTTATTTAATACATTAACTAATACAATACAATACATTAAGCCTTGTCATTTTGCTCCAATGAAATGTTTGACTCTCCTGCCCTTAAACTCCAGCGTTTGAGCTGATCCAGCTCCTGTAGGCAGCGGTCCTAGTGTAAGCCGATGGGTATCCTTTAGCGCACCCGGCAATGTGACCAAAACTGACGATACCTACATGGACAGCGCTACTACCAGAACCAGTGATCAATGGGCCGCCGCTATCACCCTACCAACAAAAATACATAAAATCCTATCCACAAAAAGCTCTGTCAAACTCACATTGCAAGTACTTTGGATGGTGGTACCTGTGCAGCAGACAATTCCAGACTGAATATTACTGTAAGTTTGACCGCAGACGGTGTTCGAAATCGTGGTCAATCCAACATAGTTGAGGGTTTGACTGATAGACGAGGAACCTTGAAAACGACGTTAGTACCACAAAGAAAAACTAAAGTACCGACGACTTACTGTCGCTGGTTCTTCCCCAACCGCTCACGGTGACAGAAACTCCGGTTCCAAGAGTACTGGTGGCCAGAGGGATCGTCGAGATGTACGAAGACGAAGACACAGACGTGGAGAGTTGCAGGAGAGCGATGTCGTTGGCTAGTGTGGTGGAAGAGTAGCTGGGATGTACCACGGCTCTGCTGGCTTGAGCGGTAACACGGGAGGTGTCGCTCAAAGAGGTCACGCCCAAATAGGCGGTGACTGCGGTAACTCTGCAACACAATTGTAAGAGGAGGCGCTATGTAATAGCAACACCAACCAACCCTTGGACGCAATGGGCTGCCGTCAAAATCCAGGTGGAGCTGATTAAAGCACCACCACAGAAGGAGGTGCCACCAGTTGTAAGGGTCAAGTAAAGTCCGGCTTGCCATGGGAATTGTCCTCTGGAAGCAGGAGATCCGCTGATAATACGTCCGTTGCTGATCTCTCTGAATGGAAGATACTTGGAAGTGGAAGCGGCTGGCACGGCCTAAGAAAAAATGTTAAATGCAAGTGGAACGGAAAGTCGAAGTACTTACTCCTGGAAGTAGAGGAAGCTCGGCTGGCAAAGCCAGGGCGGCTGCGGCCACACAAAGTATGAGAAGAGCAAAACGAAGCATGTTGTTTGTTGGTTCTGGTCGAAGTGACGATTGGAGCGAAACGAGCTCTTTTATATTCGTCTTGCAGACGATTTTATCAATATTAGGTGAGAATTGTTCTGTGACAGTTTAAGTGTATTATATGTTAAGAGATTAATGTGTAATCAAAGGGGATTTTTATGGGTTATGATAGGGGGTTAGATTGTGAGCTAGATTTCCGGAATTAGTTTTGGGAAAGTGAGTCGTAAATGTCTTAAAACTGGTTTTGAAACAATTGACAAATAAGTATCTTTCCAATCCAAATGGTGTACATTTAAATGTGTTGTCTTAATAAAAACTATGTTTAGTTTTGTAGAAACAATTTTTGCTTTGATGACATTTAGTTTCAAATGGTGCACGTTAATATGATCTGTTAAATTACAGTTCATTTTAGTTTTATATGGGCATTTTTTAAATTCATATCATTTAATCAAATGCACATCTGTGAGTTTTCTTAAATTACAAGCATGTTTACTTGTATATACATATTTGGAGACTTTGTGCACTCATTTCATTTAATATCATTCTCATCTAAATAGTACACATGTACGTGTTCTATTAAAAAATGATGTCTTCAATGAGATTTTTACTTATGATTATTATTATTTTTACTTAGCATGCAATGAAACCAATATTTTTACTGTTTCAAATTTCACTTATACTGGAAAACTTTGATACTTCATCTACTCCTCTTCTGAAACGACGTCTTCATTTTCCTTTTTAATGCGATCGAGTTGGCTGTGACATCGTGTAGAGTTTCTCACGAACCGCAAACTGCGTGGAGGCGGAGCTAAAAATGGCGCGAAATTAAAAAAGAAGCATTTCATTGTGGGTTTCGAAAATATTTGCTCGCAAAACAAGCAAGTGCAGGATTTCTAAAACAATGTGTAATAATTATGCCCAACATTAATCACGCGGAGCCTACTTTTTTATTTGCGGACATAAGAAAGTTCACAAGATCTCGACAATTATATTACAGTGTTTAATTTTTGAGGAAGATTTATGATTAAATAAATAAAATAACTAGAAGATTAAAACACTAAAAGTATAGACACAATCGGTACACGTGATTTGCAAATTAGCTTTTCAAGGTTGTTTCTTATTTTTGTTTTTAATTTATTCGTTAAATAACTGAGTCACTTTTGCAACGAATTAAATCTGATTGGATAATTCTGAGAAGACTTGGCTTTACAAAAGTTGTGTATTTTTCATTTAGAGTCATAAAAATATGTAGAAACAATCATTGTCCTAATAGTTATTTGTGTATCAAGGACGTAAAAGTAAGTTTTCGACATTGGAGTACAAAAACTTACAAGTAAATCCAAAAAATAATTTTGATGTTTCGGTACCAATAGTGACAATTCATGGATGTAAGTGGGAACGACTAGATTTGTAATAGTCGCCTAAAAAAATTGTTTTAAGTAACACTAAACTGATTCAACTTCGTTATTAAATTACTTTGAAAGAGTTATATAATTAAAAATTTGATCATTTAGGAAATTTTATGTTAGGTATTTTTTGTATGTAAAAAAAATGAATCTTTAATGTTCCGCAGTTATTACCGCTCATATAATTACAAAACAACATAAAAATGGTAAAACTAAAACCAAAAAAAAAAAATTAAACGCGATTTTAATCTGTATAATTTACTGCACAACAACTTAAATTGATAATTCATCGACAGAGAATCAATGGGAATAAGTATTTAGTACTTACCTATTTTAATATAAGTGTCAATTACTGGTATTATTCCGGAAATGTCTCGTCATTTCATCTCTGTTATCTCTACAAGTGATACGGATTTAATACACTGGTTTAAGATATTACAAAAAAAATCCCTCACTCCTGAACCAATTATCAATTACATGTTAAGTATATTACATTTTATCAAGTTTAATTTTGCCAACTTTATTTTTTCTTGTAAGCGCTATAAGCCAAAATAAAGATATGTATGTAGAGTTAAAGTTAGTGCCTAGATGGTATATGTTTCATTCAGAAGATTCATTCTTACTCTAGAGGATATTCTATGGATTTATCTTTGCAACTGAATATTGGGGATCCTTTGAAATACTCAACTGTGAAGAAATTTATCTATACGACAATCCACTTTGACGAAGAATGACAATTTTGACTTTATTAAAATACGATACTTTTGGTATTGTTGACAAAATAAATTCAAAATGCCAACATTTCAAATTTATTTTCAAACATTAGTCAGAATGACAATAGCTGTGATTTACAATGATGGTTTTCAAAATGACACAAGCTTGTCGTTTGAAATTTTTGTCTTATACATTACAATCTTTTGATGTATAATGAAATTAAAATTACGTCGTTTATAACGTGCAGCGTTTGTCCACACTAACAACATAAAATTATCAAAATGTGGTTGTATAAAATAGAGACGGATTCACAAAGCACAATTTTTTAAAGTAGTTTCTTGTTTTATGAAATTTAAATAACATATATTTTACCACTACAGTCTATATGATATTCCTAAAATACATATAAAATTTCACAACAATCAGTTCTGTATATTCGTAGATTATTATTTGTCTAATAAAAATCGACACAGACGACAGACAGACGGAAACGGGGCACGTCGAGAAAAATTAAGAAATGAACTCACGATTTAAAGGCAAAATTTAATTAACAAATAAAGGAAAAATACGCTAAGGACTTGCAAAAAATCAAAAATCTAGTAGCAAAGTTACCCAATTAAACAACATTGAAAACCAACGCTTTAAAATCTGCTTAATTAAAATTGTGCTATCTGTTATCAGAATAATAAAGCAGTATATATGTCTAGTCATTCAAAATCAACTTTGAGACATTTACAACTCTCTTCCCCAAAACCCATTCCGAAAATCTAGCTCTTAATCTAACCTCCCTATCGAAACATACAAATCCCCTTTGATTACACTTTAATCTTTTAACATATTACGCACTTAAACTGTCACCGAAGAATTCTCACCTAATATTGACAAAATCGTCTTCAAGAAAAAAAAAGAGCTCGTTTCGCTCCAATCGTCACTTCGACCAGAACCAACAAACATGCTTCGTTTTGTTCTTCTCATTCTTTGTGAGGACAATTCCCATGGCAAGCCGCTCTTTACTTGACACTTACAACTGGTGGTACCTCCTTCTGTGGTGGTGCTTTGATCAGCTCCACCTGGATTTTGACAGCAGCCCATTGCGTCCAAGGGTTAATTGGTGTTGCTACTGCATAGCACCTCCTCTTGCAATTGTGTTGCAGAGTTACCGCAGTCACTGCCTATTTGGGCGTGGTTTCTTTGAGCGACACCTCCCGTGTTACCGCCCAAGCCAGCAGAGCCGTGGTACATCCCAGTTACTCTTCGACCACACTGGCTAACGACATCGCTCTCCTGCAACTCTCCACGTCTGTGTCTTCGTCTTCGTACATCTCGACGATCTCTCTGGCCACCAGTACTCTTGGAACCGGCGTTTCTGTCACCGTGAGCGGTTGGGAAAGAACCAGCGACAGTAAGTCCTGGGTACTTTAGTTTTTCTTTGCGGTACTAACGTCTTCTTCAAGGTTCCTCGTCCGTCAGTCAAACCCTCAACTATGTTGGATTGACCACGATTTCGAACACCGTCTGCGGTCAAACTTACAGTAGTAATATTCAATCTGGAATTGTCTGCTGCACAGGTACCACCATCCAAAGTACTTGCAATGTGAGTTTGACAGAGCTTTTTCTGGATAGGGTTTTATGTATTTTTGTTGGTAGGGTGATAGCGGCGGCCCATTGATCACTGGTTCTGGTAGTAGCGCTGTCCATGTAGGTATCGTCAGTTTTGGTCACGTTGCCGGGTGCGCTAAAGGATACCCATCGGCTTACACTAGGACCGCTGCCTACAGGAGCTGGATCAACTCGAATGCTGGAGTTTAAGGGCAAGAGAGTCAAACATTTTATTGGAGCAAAATGACAAGGCAACAAGGCTTATAGGTTATATTGGATTAGTTAAAGTATTAAATAAAAATTTAATTATAGTTTGAATTTTACTAAAAAAAAAAATCCCAGACGTTTCACTTACACTAATATATTACCTAATAAAAACTAAGGGTAAAAATAATTAGAGATTTATTTGTAGAATCTTTTTATTACATCAAAGATTAACCTTCAGTTGTTTCGTCACTCTTTTCACACAATTTTGTCATATTTTCCGAACGGTGAAGAAAAACTTCAAATGGTTGCACGTAGGGAGAACTTCATATTTATGTCTGTGAAATGACATCATGGGCCTACAACCCAAAGGTTGAAAATAATGTACTGGTCATGTAGTCGGTTTAATTTTAACAGTTTTAAATAATGTTCTTTATATCTGGCTATTCTTCATTTATACTTTTAAACAAATGTAACAACTGCATCTGGTTAAAAAATAAACATACAAAATAGTTATTTATAATATTACAACGAAGCCCAAGGCTTGGCACCGAGGCACGCCACCCCCACGCGCTATCGACGAAATTCCGGAGCTACCTTCGATTTGCTCCATACCAAAATTTTACTTTTAATGCCAGTGTTAGAAGTAGCTTCACTTCTAACACCAGTGGCATGAAGTGACACAATTTTAAGGTTTCATGACAGACGTCAAAAAGTCTTCTTTTTGTAGTGTTTGTATAAAGATTTTTTCCAAGATTACCATGCGAAACGTAGTTTTTTGTCATTAATTAGAATAATAAGTTGCTGCTAATAATCCGAATGTATTTGGGCTACTTTCAAAGAACTACGCACGATGAAAGCTACGAGGGCAATGTTTTTAGTTGCGTACCTATTTATGCGTTTGAGTTTCTACTACTGCGCATCTGACATTCGCGGATCATGACAAAAGTCGCAAGCTCTGTACTAATAGTGATTAATTTTTGAGGAAGATTTATGATTAAATAAATAAAACAACTGGAGGATTAAAGCAGTAAAAGTATTGACATAATCAGTACATTTGATTTGCTTAGTTTTTCAAGGTCGTTTTTTTTGTTATTTGTAACTAATTTTTTATTAAATATACCTAAAATAATCGGTCGTCTGATTGTTTCTAAGCAAATTATTAACTGGCTTTAGTTCGGTTGTGTATTTGTCGTCTAGAGTAATACAAATCTGTGGAAAAAGACGTTGTGCTAAAATTTTTTGTGGGTAACACTAACAAAGAAAGACTGGTCGAAAGCTATTTCGACACAACTTCCCTCGCTCTTGAAGTATAAGCGAACAAATCTAGCTCTTTAAAAATATTATAAAATTTGATTTTACGATTTTTGTTTTATGATGACCTCTGTAAAGTAAAAATCAGCGGCATAAATAATGCCCTCTCAACCCCGGCGCCTTCCGGACAATGTAAAATATATTTAAGGCACTTAACTAACGAGATAAAATGTCCTTCAGCACTAGGTAATAGAAATCTGAACCTCAAGTATTTATTTATGTCTCTAATTCTTACCTTTAATTTTTATTAATATTTTGTAATGTATTCTGGTGTTGTTTTCATAAACTGAATTTTGCGAGCCTACGGTAAAATAGGTTCTTTTTTATTAATTTTGTCGTTTATCCTAACAAGTTTTTTTTTTCCTATTTCCAATTTTGTGGTATTAGTTTTCAGCTAAGCATCGGTAAACTTTTTAGCAAGTAAAACTCAAACATATATTTAAATGTTTATTTAATACATTAACTAATTCAATACATTAAGCCTTGTCATTTTGCTCCAATGAAATGTTTGACTCTTCTGCCCTTAAACTCCAGCATTTGAGCTGATCCAGCTCCTGTAGGCAGCGGTCCTAGTGTAAGCCGATGGGTATCCTTTAGCGCACCCGGCAACGTGACCAAAACTGACGATACCTACATGGACAGCGCTACTACCAGAACCAGTGATCAATGGGCCGCCGCTATCACCCTACCAACAAAAATACATAAAACCCTATCCACAAAAAGCTCTGTCAAACTCACATTGCAAGTACTTTGGATGGTGGTACCTGTGCAGCAGACAATTCCAGATTGAATATTACTGTAAGTTTGACCGCAGACGGTGTTCGAAATCGTGGTCAATCCAACATAGTTGAGTGTTTGACTGATAGACGAGGAACCTTGAAAACGACGTTAGTACCACAAAGAAAAACTAAAGTACCGACGACTTACTGTCGCTGGTTCTTCCCCAACCGCTCACGGTGACAGAAACGCCAGTTCCAAGAGTACTGGTGCCCAGAGAGATCGTCGAGATGTACGAAGATGAAGACACAGACGTGGAGAGTTGCAGGAGAGCGATGTCGTTAGCCAGTGTGGTCGAAGAGTAGCTGGGATGTACCACGGCTCTGTTAGCTTGGGCGGTAACACGGGAGCTGTCGCTCAAAGAGGTCACGCCCAAATAGGCGGTGACTGCGGTAACTCTGCAACACAATTGTAAGAGGAGGCGCTATGCAATAGCAGCACCAACCAACCCTTGGACGCAATGAGCTGCTGTCAAAATCCAGGTGGAGCTGATCAAAGCACCACCACAGAAGGAGGTACCACCAGTTGTAAGGGTCAAGTAAAGGCCGGCTTGCCATGGGAATTGTCCTCTGGAAGCAGGAGATCCGCTGATAATACGTCCGTTGCTGATCTCTCTGAATGGAAGATACTTGGAAGTGGAAGCGGCTGGCACGGCCTGAGAAAAAATGTTAAATGCAAGTGGAACGAAAAATCGAGGTACTTACTCCTGGAAGTAGAGGGAGCTCGGCTGGCATAGCCAAGGCAGCTGCAGCCACACAAAGTATGAGAAGAGCAAAACGAAGCATGTTGTTTGTTGGTTCTGGTCGAAGTGACGATTGGAGCGAAACGAGCTCTTTTATATTCGTCTTGCAGACGATTTTATCAATATTAGGTGAGAATTGTTCTGTGACAGTTTAAGTGTGTAATATGTTGAGAGATTAGTGTGTAATCAAAGGGGATTTTTATGGGTTATGATAGGGGGTTAGATTGTGAGCTAGATTTCCGGAATTAATTTTGGGAAAGTGAGTCGTAAATGCCTTAAAACTGGTTTTGAAGCAATCGACAAATATGTATCTTTCCAATCCAAATGGTGTACATTTAAATGTGTTGTCTTAATAAAAACTATGTTTAGTTTTGTAGAAACAATTTTTGCTTTGATCACATTTAGTTTCCTGGTACACGTTAATATGATCTATTAAATTACAGTTCATTAAGAGTGTACAAGAGAGGTTCGGTTCTTTCGCTGTGCTGATTTTTCTCAACAATATCGCCAAAACTATTATTGTGATACGTAAGCATACTTTAGATACAGTAATCCCTGCTGAATCCACATTTGGAAACGACAGTAATTTGGTAGCTAGTCGCTTTTTACCAAATTTACGGTTTTTTTCAACCAGTTTTTATTTCTACTGTTTGTAGTGAGGTGGGTTATCAGCTTCATTTTTAATGAAGTTTGTTGGGCTGTCTACTCTACTCTCAGAATAAGGATGTCCACAATGAACGTATTCCCAGACAAAGACCAAGCAATTATTTTAGGCGGAGTTGATGATCTCAAATTGTCTGAATACTTATGTAAGTGCAGTAGGTATCCTAGTGCAACCAAAAAACGTCGTTTTCGCGTCTCGGATTGCTAATAACCGCATGTGTGTTTATTTAAGCAGCAAATCCCTTGTAGACAAAGTTGTAACTGACCATCCTGTGTTAACAATACAAAATCATTTGATTAATGTAAGGCGTCTCATCAATCCTGCTAGAAGAATAATCAGAGCTGTTCAGTACTTCAAGTAAAAGTACTTGAAGTAATACTTGAAGTACTTTAAGTACTTCAAGTACTTTACTTGAAGTACTTTTATATTTAGGTACTTGGTACTTGGTACTTGGAGTATTTCTAAAATGTACTTGAGTTTAGTACTTGATTTTGCCAAGTACTTTGCTCCAAGTACTTCACTCAGTATTTTAAATACTCTTGAATTACTTGAAGTATGAAAGTGGAAATTTCAAATACTTTAGTCTCTGTTTTACGAAGTTTTCACATCTCAAAATAGGGTCTGTTAAATACTTGAAGTTATTAATTCAATTATTTGATTAGATGTATTTTTATAGTAAAATCGTGTTTTTTTCCTGTGAGGTTATATTTTGATCTGTGATTGTGGATATCTTATCCACAATATGACGTACATTTCATAGGTACTTGCATAATGCCGATAGATAGGTAGGTAAGAAAATTAATGTCATAAATATGTCATTTGAGAGTGGATGACGACAGCAGAAGTGTCGGAGATCTGTGTAAAATTTTCAGCGATGTAAAGTTGTGAATATATGAATTTTGTCTTTTTTGTATTTTGGTCTGGAACTTAACTTTGCGGGTAGTTTTTCAGTACCTTCCCGGTACCCCAAAGGGAATCGGGTTTGTTGACGTACCTGCTAAAGTGCAAGGTCGGATTTGAAAATATTTGAGAAATGATTCAGTACTCGTTCAAAAAGATATTTATTCTTTCATTAGTTTCTTAACCCCGCCATGTATTTGTCAGTAAGAAGCCTGGTCAGGG